CCCGGGCAGGCGCCGGTGGGAAGAAGCGAGCCGCGGCCTGGCAGCCTCCAAGGGTGGGCACAAGCCGCCGCCGCCGCGCCCCCAGCTTCCCTCTCCCCCTCACCTGGCAAGGGCTGAGGCGTCGAACTCTCGCCGGTCGTTGCCGCTTTCCCCGCTCGACAGCCGAGTCGGCTTCGGCCAAGGGGGAGGCTCGCCCGCGCAGCCCCCCCTCCCGCAGCCGGCCAGGAGGCGCTGCGGGGCCGCTTCAAGCGTCGGCGCTCTCCTCCTCCTCCTCCCCCCCGAGGGCTCGCTGGTGATCCCGCCGCAGGAGACGCGGAAAGGCGGCAGCGCCGCGTCTACTGACAGGTCGGCAATATGGCGGCGGCCGTTTAGATTTTCCTCCCTATCAGAGATGTTGGCGCCTCCGTTTTCTCACCGGGCATGCGCGCTGAGGACCCGAGCATGCGCGTGCCAAAGGACTGAAGCGGCTTTCCCTTAACTTTATTTTGGGCAGGGGGGGGGGGGAAACCGAAGCTTGGAGTCACGTGGGTGAGTGGGCTTTTTGATGGGGAAACTACCGCATAGAAGAGGGGAGAGCTGGGGGGAAGAAGGGGGGGGGAGCGAAAGACCCCTGCTGGTAAAACTTCCGCGGCATGCGCGTTGATTTGGGAATAAGTCTCACTTGAATCAGTGGGATGTATCCCCGAGTAAAGAAGCAAGTAGTACATACCGATTAACCTCTTCTTCTTCGGCCGTTTTAGCCCACTGAGTTAAATGGCACTTATAAAAGTGCTAATTGGTCTCTTGCGCTGAAACCATAACCAGTTACGACCTTCCTAAATCGATCGAAGTCAATGGGTTTCGAAAGGTGTAAGTCTCTTGAGGATTGCACTGATCTGATGAGGTCGGAGAGTCTCACTGAACTCCATGTATCAACCGCGCATGCATAGGATCGGGTGCTTGATGGCACCTACAGACTCGTTTTTAAATTAGAGAGTACCCCCTACACGTGGTCAGTGTTCCCTCTAAGCTGAGTTAAGGGTCAGCTAGCTCATCGTTTTTTTAGCCTCCGGCTGACACATTTATGTCTTGGCTCAGGGAAGGATGGCTCCAGAGCAAACCAATTTATGCAGTAGCCAAACTGCTTCCTCACAACTTTAATGCCAGTAGCTCACAAAGTAGAATTTTGGCTTACAAGACTCCACAGCTTAGAGGGAACATTGCAGGTGGTGTGTCTTGAAAGTTCCTAGGACGGGTTCATCATGTTCGTAGAGTTCATTTCACTTTGCCCAGTTTTTTACATTCACCTTGTGCACTAACGTTATGTGTAAAAAAAAGATTCTATGCAAGGTAATTTGAAAATCATTGACCTGAGCTGTGTCAAAATAGTAAGTGGTTCCAGTTGTGCAGTCCTGCTTTGTAAAGAGCACAGTACCATTTTGGACTTCACTCCCATGTCCATTTATGTGGGAATGATTAAAAGAAGTCAGTGAGACTTGCTTCCAAGCAGTAGTGCATAAAATAGGGTTGCCAATCCCAGGCTGCAGTCACACACACTAAATAATCCACTTTCAATCTACTTTCAGTGCATTTTCCAACTAGATTTTACTGTGGGTGTGAACTGGAAAAATCCAGTTGGAAAGTGCATTGAAAGTAGATTATTTAGTACAGTACACTGTACAGTTCTTAAAACCAAAACATAGACATTCATTTGAGCAAAGTGTCACGGTAGTATATAGTGTCCATTTTATTCCTTGGAATGTGTGAAGAACTATCCTCTTGCAGCTTAGTCCAGCACCAGCAATCAAGCAGGTGGGGGGAAGAAGAAGAGTTGGTTTTACACCCCGTCCTTCACTCCCCAAAGGGGTCTCGAAGCAGTTTACAATCATCTTCCCTTCCTCTTCCCTCAAGGGGCACCTTGTGAGCAATGCTCCCTCTAAGCTGTGGAGTCCTGTAAGCAAAAAATCTACTTTGTGAGCTCCTGGCATTAAAGTTGTGAGCGAGCGATTTGGCAACTGCATAAATTAGTATGGCTCTGAAGCCATCCTTCCTGAGCTAAGACAAAAACGTGTGAGCCAGTGGCTAAAAAACTGTGAGCTAGCTCACACTAACTCAGCTTAGAGGGAACACTGCCTGTGAGGTAGGCGGGGCTGAGAGAGGTCTGAGAGAACTGTGACTGACCCAAGGTCACCCAGATGGCTGCATGTGGAGGAGTGGGGAATCAAACCCAGTTCTCCAGATGAGAGTCCACCACTCTTAACCACTACACCAAACTGGCTCTCAGGAAGGGCAGGTAGGCAGTGGCAGTGAGCCCCGCCCGATGCCCTGGGCCCGAGCAGTTCCTCGCCTCAGGGTATGCTGACACCAGCCCTGAATGTAACCAGCAAAACACTGCACTGGGTCCCTCCTGTTTAACATAGGAGAATATTCCAAAAATCTGCCTGCAGTGTGATGTGGTGCTCCTGACCAACCCATTCCCTTGCATCCGCTAATCTGGCCTGGAAGATCAATGCAAGGGGGTACTCACAGAAGAGGACTAAAGCAAAATGCAGTGCCTGGAAGCCCATATCTCTTTGCGGTCCCTCTCCGCCCCCCAGCCTAAGCTCCCTGTGCTGAACTTTGCTGCTGTATAGTGATAATATGATAAAAGATGAAGGACTCTGTGGCTTGCCGGTCCCTGGTGAGGATTCCTTCATCCTGTTCCAGCAGCTGGGCTGGTTCTCCTGCCCTCTGCCCACCAGACTGTTTGCCCAACTCTTCTGGCTGCCACCTGCCTAGCGTGCGGCCCTCTCTCGCCTCCTCTCCGCTTCACAATGCTCGTCCTTCTTCTGCCCACTGCTGTCCCTCAGTGGATGAAATCTTGATCCCATTAACGGCAAATGGCACTCCTTATTCACTCCGGTGGGAGTAGAGATCTCCCTCCCACCCCTTCCCTACTGACACAATGGCCTCCTTTGTCGTTCCCTGGGGTGTATTTGTTTTTTTGCAGCAAATTTAAGAAAGACACCCTCTCCCTGTTGTTCACAGTGAAGTACCTCGTTGCAGGCTTACTCAGAGTACTCTTTTTTCTTCTTCTTCTGAGCATCCATATTACAAAAATTTTAAAATCTTATAGTGGTTTATAAGTGCTTTTGCTTTAGCTTTGTGCTCAGTGAAATCCTAAACAGATAGTTTTAGAGGGTCGCCATGTTGGCCTGCAGTAGAACAGCTAGCACCTTAGAGACCGAAAAGAGTTTGGGTGGATGAAAAAGCTCAGACCCCAAAAATCTTGTTGAACTCTAAGGTGCTACTGGACTTGAATCGAGCTACCCTAAACAGAGCTGTACCCTTCTAAGGCCATTGACTTCAGTAGACTTAGAACTCTGCTTTGGATTGCACTGTTAATAGTATTTTGCTGCCGTTTTTATTGTTTCCCCCCCCCCCTTTGTTTTGGTTATGTATGCTTCTGTTGTACATAGGGTTGCCATTCCCCTGGTGGGGCCTGGGGATCCCCCGATTTTGGGGGGCTGAAACCACTGCAGCCCAGCTGGCCGGTGGGGGAAGCCCCACCCCGAGAAGCCCCCTTCTGGCAGCGCTGGCGCAATAATGTCACGTGGGAGTGACATCATCACATTTCCGACATTGGAGTCAGTGCTCTAGGTTTTGGGCAAAACTCTATGGTTTTGAGGCCCAAAACCCATAGACTTTTGCCTAAAACCTAGAGCGTCGCCCCCTTTGGAAACGTGTGGACATCACTTCTGGGTGATGTCATCACAGCGCTCACACACCAGAGGGTGTCCAGGAAGGATCAGGAGTCCCCCTGCCAGCAGCCAGGTAGAACCTGTCAACCCTCGTTGTACAGGGCCTTATAATTAGTGTATAAATGTGGTTCTCATGAATGTATACAAAATAAAATGCAGGCTAAAATTCTGCAAATATGTGCATATGAGAACAGTCGTTCTTCTGAGCTATCCTACTAAAATCATGATCAGAATTAAGATTCCTGGGAAGGACTTGATTTGCACATTCTTTGACCCCAGCTGACTGTAAACATGCTGGGAGATACACATAAATCCTTCCTAGCCACTCAGGTGAAGCACTGAGTGAGTAATCCAGATCAAAACAATCACTCTTGGCATGCCTGAGAGAACTACTATCCTGGATTTATGGCACAGGGCAAGGTTATCTTGGGTAAAGCCACAGGGAGATATGGCTTTACACTCAACAGCAAAGGACAGATTGGAAGCATGAAGTCAACAAGCCAGCAGAACTCTGTGTACATTGGACCTGTGATAACAGACCAAATACAATTTAAACCTAGACACATATTAAAGAAAGCAATCTTGCAAGTGAAATTTTATTACCAAAAAAACCCGAATTGTGTAAGAGACACTTGAGAGCAATGTTTGAGAAATGAGACCCATCCGGTGATACATTTTATTTACCTATTCCCATAGTACAATACGTGCATGCAGCAGGACAAAATGGGAGTAATTGGCGACCCAATCATCCAACAAACATTTGTATTGGTTTTGAGGCAGCAAACCATTTACTAAAAAAATCACCAACATCAGCCATGGTGCCGTTCCCAGAAGAAGCAGAGCCACCCGTGAGGACTCTGGGGTAAGAATGGGAGTTGGTAGAAGTATACAAGACCTATAGTAACACAAGTAAATTTGTTATTGGGGAGCTTTTGGGTTCCCATTAGGGTTGCCAGAGATTTTGGGGGTGGAGCCTGGAGAGGGCGGGGTTTGGGGAGGGGAGGTATCTCAGTGGGCCATAATACCATAGAACCCAACTTCCAAAGCAACCACCTGGATACTGATAACCCTAGTTCCAGTGCTGGTTTTTACCTTTAAAACCCCTTCATAACCTGGGGCTCACATATCCAAAGAAGAAGAAGAGGAGACTGGATTTATACCCCGCCCTTCACTACCCAAAGGTGTCTCAGAGCGGCTTACAAACTCCTTTCCCTTCCCCTCCCCACAACAGACACCCTGTGAGGTAGGTGGGGCTGAGAGAACTCTTGACAGAAACTGCTCTTTTTCAAGAACAGCTGTGCCAGAGTTATGGCTTGCCCAAGGTCATCCAGCCAGGTGCAAGTGGAGGAGTTGGGAATCAAACCCGGTTCTCCCAGATTAGAGTCTGCACACTTAACCACTACACCAAACTGGCTGTCCTCTGATGAGCCTGCTTGTTTTCTCCTAGGTCTGCCCAAATTGACTTGTATTTTGTGTCTTTCTCTTGCCTTTGTTGTCTGCCTCAGGCCATGTGCCAAGCAGCTCCTTCCTTGCTGTCCTTCCTAAGAGCAAGTAAATAGCCCTCTTTTCAATGGGCTTTTTGTTATGGATCTGTATAGATTTTTGGTGAGTGTTTAAGATAGCGTTTTACGGCCAATGTGAGTTCTAGCT